GCGACGCTGAGAGAGAAAGGAGATAGATACACACAAACCCGTTACAATGGTCTGCAATGGTGGAGGAAGTGGCTCAGAGGAAGCGTCTCAGTCCATAAAGTCCAATTGCGGGGGTCCTCTTCGGGTGGAGCGGGGTCATCCATAGTGGAAGAATCCTCTCGAAGTGAAGCGAAGCGGGGGGGGGCAGTTCAGGCGGTGCCCTCTGGGTCTGGTCCGGCGGCAGCTCATCTGGTGGGGTTGGCGTACTGGCGGTGGCCCATGATGTGCTCCACGTAGATGTCGCGGGACCAACGGATGGTGCCGGATACAATGAGGCAGCGCATCAGCTTGGCGTAGCGGTGGGAGACGCAGCAGGTGCGGAGGACACTCTCGTTGCTGGGGTCCCAGGCTCCAAGCGTCCCCACGATGAGCGCGTCCACCATCACGTCGCAGCCGCGATCCCTCAGGGTGTCGACCAGCGGGGCGTACTTCTCCCGCTTGCGAGCCCGGGCATCGGTAAAGGCTTGGCGCCGGTTCTCGAAGGGGATGGTGACATCCACGATCACGATCTTCTTGGCCTCTTGGTCGGTGATGACAATGTCGGGGCGCAGCTGGCTCTCGCAACCCGGGATGGTGCGGTTCACGGAGATCTCCCCCGCCGCGGCCAGGATGGCCCTCACCAGGTATTATATAACAATGGTAGCCAACCTTTTTGCCTGGTGGACCAGATGAGCAGCGCCAGGTCCCTCTGTGGACCTGATCCAGCTGTGGCCAGTTGCACAGCCAGACCTTGATCCATTCATCTGGGACAGGGTCAGGACAGAGTGTCCATGATCCCAGTGGGTGGTGGGAAGAGCCCAGCCCAATCTGGACTCGTGGACAGGGATTTGGGGCAGGAGCCTGATTCCACTGTGTGGGCAATGGCCCCGGAAAGACTGGATCTAGTTGTGTGAAGCTTCTACCACTCCCCACTACCAAGTTGTCCAAGCCATGTGATATGCCTGCAGGCTGGATGTCATGGCTCCGTGGGCTGGATATGGCCCCCCCAGGCCAGAGGTGGAGAACCGCTGCTACAGAAGAAGAGCACTGAGCCAGGTATCTCTAGAGCAATCCTATTCAATACCCTCCCTGGTATCCACCATTACTGGTTTAGAAATGTCAGAGGAAACAACTCTAGCTGTTCTGTTCAATAGCCATTAATAGATCTATCATTAATTTATCCAGTCCCTTTTTCAACCTGGCTGTGCTACCTGCTTCCACCAGCTCCTGGGGCAATGAATTCTACAAGTTAACTACGAGTTGCCTCAAATAGTACTTTCTTTTGTTAGATTTAAACCTGTCACCTAGTAATTTCAGCAGATGCCCCCTAGATCTAGTATTCTGGGACTTGGTGAACAACAATTCCCTGTTCTCTCAGTACACACCCTTCATGATTTTATAGACTCCTATTATATCCCCCCTCAGCCTTCTCTTCTCCAAACTGAAGAGTACTAGCCTCCTTAGTCTCTCCCGGTATGGCAACTGCTCCAGGCCCGTGGTCATTGTGGTTGCCGTTCTTTGTACCTTTTCTAATTCTACTACATCCTTTTTGAGGTGTGAGGAGCAGAACCGCACACAGTATTCAAGATGTGGGTGCACCATGGATTTGTTCACTGGCATGATGATGTTCTCGATTTAATTTTCAATTCCATTCTTAATGATGCCTGATGTTTTGCTGGCTTTTTTGATTGCCACTGCACACTGAGTTAATGTTTTTAGGGAGCCATCTACACTGTCTCTGTGGCAGAGCACCTTCACTGTCCACCACTTTAAGGGCCAAAAGCAGGCAGCCAGCAGGTGCAGGCCAGCCCTGATGAGGCGGCCATTTTAGATCCTGGCTCTCGGAGCTGAGGCAGCAGTTTGCTGCAAGTAGCTGAAGGAGCAACAACACTTGGCTGAACTGCTGCTCACGGAACACCTCGGAGGCAAGGGAGGAACTATGGGGATGGCAGGAGGTTCCCAGGGGCCCAGGGAAGGTGGTGGGACTAGACAGAACAAGGCCCAGCCTAAAAAGGGGGCTTAGAATAGTGGACCAACACAGGGGCTAAGCAAGCCCCTGATTAAAGCCGACAGGAGCGAGGCCTAGGGCTCAGGTGAACCCAGTAGAGAGAAGGGCTGCTCCATTAAGATCTTTGGGGCTCTAAGCAAGCCCAAGGGGAGAGGGCAGTATGGTGGGGCCCAGAAGGAGACCCCTGTTGTCCACGGAGGGCAGAAGCTGCTTGGCTAACTGTCTAACCCCTTGACTGGTCAGTGTAAGGGGGTCAGGGCTGAAAGGCCAATGCATAATTGACCTCACCATAAGGGGCAAAGCAAAGCTGCAGAGAGCCATCTGGTACCCTGACTGGCCTGAAGGTGGAGCCAGGGCCTCAAGCAAGCCAAAGGCCCTCTCGAGGGAGAAGACATCACAGCCAAAAGAAGGTACGGGTTAGTCAGTGTGCCTGCTGCTATGCCAGCAGAAGGGGGCTGCATTAGAGGGCCCAGGAGGGAGAGCAGCCCAGGAACATCACATACACCACTTGTGAAAAGACCAGAGTAGGTAGGCCTGGTTGGTCCTGGGTAAGACTGAAAACTGCACCCTGCTGGGGAAGGGTGGTATGGCGGGGCTGTCCATGGTGGGACAGTCCCCCAGAAATGCCAGTCTAGTTACCTCCCCAGTGAACAGCAGGTAGAGGCGCCTGATAACCCCAGCCCCTACCATTTCAAGGGTCATCAAAACTGGAGGGTAGTCGGGCCAGGCACGCTCATAGGAGAGGCACCTGAGCCTGTGGGGATGGAAGACCCCGGTGATAGTGGGACCAGGTATGCCTACTGAGAGGCACCTGAGCCCATGGGGATATAATACCCCAAGACTACAGCATAGGGGCAGTGTGTGCGCTCTAGTGAGGGGAGCAGATGAGTTACCCCAGTGAAGGGGTGGAGTGCATGGGGCCAGCCACTAGAAGCTCAGTGAACGGCAAAGTCCCCAAAGGGTGAGTGGGTTGAGGCCCAGAGAGGGGGCAAGTGTTAAAACCCCAGGAAGGGAGCAGTTAGGCCCAGGTAAGTCTCTGGATGCCTGAGGCTGCAAGTGGGCCCAAGGCCAATTGGGCAAGTAACTGGCCCTAGCAAGGGAGAGTGAGTAACAAGCTATCCAGAGAGGTGCTTGGGTCAGAGCTCCGCCCGGGGCTAGGTGAACTGGCTGTTTACCGTTCAGATGAGGGATGCAAAAGGGCCCAAGGGGCTGCGCACTGGCCAGCCAAAGAATGCGAGCAGGCAAGCCTGATGACCTACGGGAGCCACTGAAGGGAGCAGGGCAGGGTGAGTGTGGCCCAGCAAGGGCCAGCGTGTTAAGAGGCCCGGTGAGAGCAGGTGGTGTGAACGAGGCCCGGTGGGGTACAGTGAAAGGATGAACGTACGAGGCCAAGCAAGGGGCTGAGTTTGGCCCAGCCACGAGCCAGAGTAAAGAACAGCTCAAGAAAGACATCTGCGAGGCATGGGACATGATAAGCAAAGGTTGGAGTCGTGTATAAATCCCTAGCCATTGGGGTCTTAAATGGCCACATATTACAACTATTATTATAACAACAAAGGCATGACAGGCAAGACTGGGCAGACTGCCCTAGACAGGAGGATGGGCTGGTCCTGTGACCGGCCCTGAGAGTTTGCCCCCTGTCAGTCTCCAAGGTCTCTTTCCTGAGTTGTAATAGGTAGTACAGAACCCAGAATTGTTTATATATAGTTGAGGTTATTTCTTCCCCATGCACATTACCTTGCACTTGCCAGGACTGAAGTTCATCTGCCATTTTTTTGCTCACTCACTTAGTGTAGTGAGATATTTCTGCCACTACTCTCCATCAGCTTGGGACTTGACTACCCAGAATAATTTGGCAAACTTGGACAGTTCATTATGTACCCCCATGTCCAGGTCATTGATGAAAATGCTAAACAAAATTTGGCCCAGCACAGATCCCTGAAGGACCTCACTTTTGACCTTCTTTTGTCCTGAAAAGTGACCACTTAGCCTTACCCTTTGCTTCCTATCTTTTAAGAAAAAAATCTATGCAAGTATCCCTGTTTGAAGGACCACTAGGGAAAAAAATATTTACATATGAATATATTGAAAATACAATAGTTAATACGAGGCACAACTTACCCGTATAGCATTATCAGCTCCATTAGTAATAAGAAGTGGCTCTCCATGGACGAACGACAAACCAGCTATTGCTGTGGTGTGGGCATTTCGCATTTGACTAATTAGTTTTTTCTCTTCCAAATCCCACAATGCAATGTGTCCAATAGGGCTTCCAGCTGCCATGACTGGATGTCCATCTGATCACAAAATTACAAACAAGCTTTTAAAAAATAAATCCTATGAACTTTATACACTTTAGAGGTGGTGGAAACAAATATTTAGATGAAATGTTTATTCTTAACTAGACTGTAAAATTAAGAGTCATTTTATCAAAACATTTTAATTGCAGATAAAGCTGCATGTGTGACAAACAGGACTACACTTGTGCCAAGTAGCCTGCAGATGAGTGAGGATGTCTGGAAGGTGCGAGTAGATGCACCCCAGACTAAAGCGGCTAATTTACTCAGGTTAGTACACACCTCTACTATGGAAACTACGTTTTTTAAAAACATTTATAAAAAGTTGAGTTTGATCTAGTGTCACATCAATCTCATCACAGTTTATCACAATGTTTTATTCGCTACCCATACAGTTACATTTTATGCAACCGCTTCAGAAGTACTGTGCAAGCGTAACATACCTATCACTACTAAAGCTGCACTCTTTTGAAGATACCACCTACTGTAATATTCAGCTACCTTGGTCATCTTGGCAGAGAACATGGTGTCTAGGTCAGAGAACTACAGAGTCCGAGTACTGAGGCAGATGTCATCTGCACAGATATGCTTTCATGAAAAAATGGATATACAGGTTGAATAATATGGGTGCCAGTACAGTCATATAGGAGGCCTTTGCTTCATCTTCATAAGCCTGTTTTATTTCCTATGCACACTTTCAACCATCAAACAGTTCTGCAGTATCTACTGGGCAATTTGATAAAATCTTGGATGTTTTGGGACACCAATCTTTTGGTCAAACTCTGACCTAGGCAGCCATCTTAAGCTTCTTCTGAAAGCCCAGATCAGTGCAAGTAATGAACACCAGATCTTGGTACTGTGTCAAAAACCCAACCTGCTCAACTTTCTTAATGGTTTCTACCTCTGCTGGTAGGTGGTAGAGGATGAGGTGTATTAGTACTTTAAAACATACACATATAGCAGTAACATAAGCCAACTGTTTGCTGTACCAAGAGGGTATTTTGCTGACTTTTGCAGGGTAATGGCTTCAGACAGGGACCAGAGCTTCATGAGCTTGCTCCTTCCAATAACTCATATGAAGAACTGGAATAGCCAAGAATGAGTGCACAGACCAAGCTCTCTCAGGAGCTCCAGAAAAATGTAATATGCAGAAAGTATGGCAAAGCAGTGAACACTGGTCCTCATCAGGAAAAGTTATGATCCAGTCAGCAGGAAAAAAATGAATAATCAGTGAATCCTCAGCACACAGATAATGCTAATGTTAAACCCAATACAATGCTACCATGTGATTTTCAAGACCAGTGTTTTTACAGTTTCCTCACACTTTACTATGTGTTAAGAGCATTCATGCAGGAAGCTAGTGTGGAGTACAGTTAGAGCACTTTAAAGTCACAGCCTTGCTTACTTTGCACTAGCTTTCCCAAATAAATTCATAGTAACATTTAAAAATACTTTTGGTCTTTATTAGATTTTTCCATTGCAATATTTGCAATTTTTCCATTGTTAAAAAAACGATTAAACATCTACATACTGCAACACTACTCACTTAAATCTCAAAAATATTTACGCAACTTTTTTTCTCCATGTTTATACTTTTCAATTAATACTATTGTTTTAATTCAGTTAGTACATACAATGATTAAAATTGCTAAAATTTACCTGTTCTGAAAGAGATGGTTGTAACAGGACCCCAGTCTTGCTGAAATTTCATCAGCATCTCATCAAACTTAATATTATGCACAATAATATAACCAGACACAAGACCAATTGCCACAACATCCACTGCAGGTGCCTAAGAAAAACAGTTAAATGGATGACATTAGATTCCTTGCCAACTTTTTGCATGTTAAAAGGAAATATGGAGAAGTTCTGTTGGTTGCAATTTAGACTTTCCAAGCATTCCTACATAACAATTGAGGCAGCAGTGCTGTTCACCCAGCCAAAACTGCCTGCAATTGTACAGCATAAATTCACAAGAAATCCAATGACTAAAGTAGCTTTATTTCAAATTAACCCCAGGAAAAGTGAACTAATTTCGCCCTGTGTGTTGAGGAGCAACAAGAAAGAAGAAAAAATTCTATGCTTGTGCAATGAATGAGGAGAAAAACATTATTTTAATTTAGCCAAAAAATATGTCAAATGATTCAATTTAAGTGATTAAATGTATCTAAAACAATTAAGATATTTGGTATAAAAATGACCGCTAGGTATACTTTTATTTTTATAAAAGCTGATTTAACAAGCCTAGTAAATATCATATCCTTCCTTTGCTTACTGTGCTTACTACCCCATACGCTGAAAAATGTACAGAAACAATATGAAATGATAATTGAATTAAAAAATGTACAGAATGCCCAGGCTGACATGTCTTGTCCTGAGTGCCTCAACTTTGTAAACTTCACATTTTTTATACAACAATTACATTTTATACAATGATAAATCAAAGTCCACAAGTTTCTCCTATCAGAAATGTGCAGTTACAGCAAGTTAATAGCAGATACACGTAGGGTTAAAACAACTATCAATTAAAATTTTAATTGAAATTTGTAATCAAGTACTTGCTAAGCCTTACACTAAAAGCATGTTCACAAACTCCCCATGATAGGTGGTGATACCAAATATGCTACACTGGTCTGCACAAGGCTGTCCTCTGAACTGGAAGCAACGTGAGCATATTTGTGCAGCACTGCAAATTACTTGATTAGCCCTGACACAACAGTGCTGATTAGTCTACTAGTAATAGAGTGCCAACATGGTTACGTGGGTTCTAGTTCAAAGGAAGCCTGTAGGGCAGTGATTCTCAACTAAGGTGCCAGATCTTTTAAAGGGTGCTGCAAGATGTAAAGAGATAAGCAGGCAAGTTAAATAGATAAATGCACGCTCAGGCTTGTTCCTGTTTGAATAATCCCTCACCCCTACTGCTCAGCCCCTCTACAAGGAGGTAAGCACTATAATATATATAAAAAACAATTTTAAACTAGGTGCCATTCAATTTGCAGAAGCTATGGAGGGGTGCTTCAAGTCAAAAAAGCCTGAAAACTACTGCTATAGGGGTAATGGAAAGCACTGTTGCCTGGCACAGAAAACTTGCAACATAAATGTGCTGGAAATTTCCTACAACATGAACGCACTTACGTTAACCTAGAATCTGACCATTTGGCAAATCTAAAGGAAGTCAAGAATAGATTTGCCATGTTGTACTTATTTTTTTTTATCTCAAATAAGTGTATTCTGCTTGCAGAAATGTGAATGTTAGGTTTTAAATAATGCTGCCAAGATTTCAGGAGGAGGGCAGGAAACCCACTTCTGGCAGCAGAGTGAACAGAGATGGCATTAGCTGCCATGACTGCCTGAGCTACTGTGTCAGCTCAGGCAGCTGCAGGACTTAATATTGCCTCATTCACCCTGCTGCCACTGAAACAACTTTGCAACAGGGATAACAGCTGAGATTTTGACAGCGGGACAAGCAGAACAACCACCAAAATGAGCACCCAGTAGGGATCTGGACTTGGGAGTTTGGCAGTTAACACAACAACTGTTTGCCCCACCACTGAAACCCCAGCCTTTCTAGAAGCCCCAAAAGCTAGATGACATGGGCCAGATTCAGTCTACAGCCTCTATGTTTGGCTGATTTTTGCCCAGCTTTGACATCCCAGTTTGGCAAAAATATTATTTTTGTGTGTTTTTTTAAAGCAAAATACATTTCAGAAACAAGGCACTGGCAACATAACTAAGCTCATCTGTAGTAGGTCAATATTCTGCAAACAGCCACCTAAACAGTCTTTAATCACAAACTCACCTAATGGAACTAACAGAGCTACTTGGTAGGGATTCACAGAGCTGTTCCCTTGGACTTCATAGCGCTCAAAGTAGGGTATTTTTTAATTTTCTCTGTACGATATGTACCAATAGCACTGAAGTAAAATATTTTATGTTCTTCTAAACTGCTGTTCTATATTTACCTTCTATAAACCAACAAACTACCCAAAATACTAACCTGTTCAAGAGTTGTCACCCCAGAGCCCCATCCAGGAAATGTGTGTAAAAGTTTGCTGCAAAAGGAAAGAAGATATTCTAAAACTTTCGTTTTGATATGGACTTTTTTCTGAATGTATGGTTAACAATTACACGCACAAAGCAGCTTGCCACTGAGAAAATGAAGGCTAGCAGTTAACATTAAAAATTAATACACAGAGAAGTTCCATGCGGACAAAATGCAAACTCAACACCAGTTAGATGAGACACTGAAAGCAATACAGCCATGTTACCCTGGACTGAGAACCCTATAACATCAGAATCCTGCTTCTTGTACCCAAGCTAACTGTTTCCAAGCAATTTTGGGAATCTGCACACCATTGCATTGGACTGTATAGTAGACATACTAAAAGCAGATGTACCAAGAAGTAACAATAATGACACCATAGTTAAAGGATTAAAAATACGTACTTTCATTGTAGGCATCCTTTTCATACCAGTTAAGACCCTGATTTCTCTCTAAGTTCGTCATGATTTTTAAATTGGCCTCAAATAAAAAAACTATAACAAAAATACTTTATTCTATCAAAGTTCAGCTGCTGTTTGTAAGCAAACTAAACCTTTAGCTTCCCAAGATATAAAAAATAATCTGGTTATTTTTTGTGGTTAGATCATTCTAGTCAGGGTGGGCAAAATGTGGCCTGGGGGCCAGATGCGGCCTGCCAGGCCATTCTATCTGGCCCATGGGGCCCCTAAAAATTCAGAAAATAAATATTTATCTGCCCTGGGCTGCCTGTTACGCAGCCCTTGACAGCTTGCCAAAACTCAGTAAGCAGCCCTCTGCCCAAAATAATTGCCGGCCCCTGTTCTAGGTAGATACATACTAATAAAATAGAGGGCTCAACATTACGCTGAAATTCCACAGTCCATATTGGAGCACACAGAAATCAAGCTACATGACAGTAAGATCATTGAAAATGCATGCAGTATATTTTGATGTACCATCACCAATTTGATTATTACATTGGATAGGAAGTCCTGTTTTGGTAGCTTTCTTGTAGTACCCATCACATCCAGCTTTGAATCACATGATGTGCACACAGGCATGAATTGTAGCTACATATACAGAAGTACAGTGTAGCTATGTGGGGATATACAATATAATTCCTCTGTTAGGAAACTCAGGATGAAAAAGAATACTAGCCGCAGCCATTTCTGACCTAGTTTTAAAAATGTAAGTTTAACCTTACTGTTGTGAAGATACAGTTAATATATCCCAATGAAGAAACAAGTCTGTAGACACATACAGACCTGCTGCTGAAGTCTAATAACCCAATGTTAATTCTATTTATATGGGAATGGAAAATCCTAAAATACAGCCAGGTTTCTGTCCTAGAGGAATGAGAAAGGGGAAGGAACAAAACTGTGTAGAGTGTACAAGAATTTCACAGTGGAATTTTTTTGTGGTTTGGCAGAACAGCATAGAGGAGATGCCAATAGAGTTATCATATGAATTAAAGGACCCACACTGCAAATCACACAAGAGACAAAGGACTACCAACAACGATTACAGCCAAGGCTTGTGTTACTGAAAGTGCTCATTTCACTTCACTTTCTGAGATTTTTACTTTTATCTGTGCAAATTCCAACCTTATACCCCAAGGGATCTTATAATGTATTTGTGTTTGAAAGCGTCCTTTTCATACTAGCAAGCTGGGGCACAAAAGTACAGGCAGTCCTCCACTTAAGACGTTTCAAATTACAACTAATGGCACTTTCAACATTTATAAACTGACACCTTGTTTCAACTTTCTGACATCAGTTTAGACTTTACGATGCTTGATCTGACACCATGCCACACCAGTGAACAAGTCTGCTGCATTACCCATCTTCCTGGAGAACATCTGTCCAAACTTCCTTGGACACTTTCTTTAAAAAAGCAGACAAGACTCCAGAAAAACCTGCTGCCAAGACACCTGAGAAAACTCCAGCCGAGAGCCCTTCAAAAAGTCCAGCAAAGTCACCTCAAAGAAGTCCTTCCAAATCAATATGATTGCTATTTACAATATAAATACATTAATGTAGCTATATTACTCATCTATAATTGATCAAGTACAAAATTCTGGGTTATTTTTGGTGAAAATAGGGTCTTGGGCTTTGGTTTAGGAACCAATCTCTCTTGTATAACATTGTTCCTATGGGAAAATTGTTTCTGAATTACAACGTTTTGACTTAAGACGTGGTTTTCAAGAACCAATTGTGTCATAAGTCTGATGACTGCCTGTAACCGAGTTGAAAACAGTGTTGGATATTCAAGGTCTTTTCTCCTCCCTGGGTTTCTGTAAAACTTACGTGAGAAAACACAGTTTGAGCCAAGGCTATGCACGGCAGCAGGGCCTGATCTAACTGGGACAACGTGCACTGTTTCTGAGGCCGTAGCAGTCACATACAAAGTCCAGAACTGTGTGCTGGGTTTGGATCAGACCAAGTGGGCCACGTCTGGCCACACACCAACCCTGTGCACAGCTCCAATCTACTACAGTTGGGAAAAGGGGATTCCTCATGGGTCTGGAAATTTGGAAGTGGGGAGGTAGGAGGGAGGATGTGATGGTAGCACTACCCACTGTGCGTTGATCAGAATTATGAGTAACAAGTTTGCTTAATTCTGAAATATGAGCAACACATTTACTTCTCAAGCGATTAACAAGAAAGTATTAGGGACACTTCCAAAGTGCTTTTTTTTTTTTTTTTTTTTTTTTTTTTAAAAAGAG